GCTCAGAAAGCAGAGTGGGTGGCCTCAAACTCAAGGAGACCCTCCTGCCTCAGCCTCCCCAATGCTGGGGTTACGGGTGTGCACCTCCACGCCTGTAAAATAATGCGTCATTATTTGCTATTTTATTGCGTTTTATTTTCAGGGTTCCTTTTCTTTCTTTTTTTAAAGTCTTTTGGCACATTTTAGGTGCACATAACAACGGCTCACACAGGGAGTCCAACCTGTGCGGGACACAACCGGATTCCTCTTCCTGCCCGACCCGCGTCCCCCCATCAGCCCCACTTCCCCTGCTTATGTACAAAAGCTTTGTTTCCCTTTCTCCTTCCTTCCCCCTGCCCCTCACCCCCGTTCCCCTTCCCATTTGTGGATTTTCGTCCTCTTTCATGATGCCTGCTACACATTTTGGCCCTTGTTTACGCTTTCAGGTTCTCCCACCACAGAAACAGTGCTGCCTTTGAGTGCATGTGTGTCGGTTATTTCAGCCCAGAGCTTGGTCTCAGGTGCACGTGTTCACCTAGAAATGTCTCGGGCCCACCCTTCTTCATGGCTGAGTAATACTCCACTGTATAGCACTCCTGCATCGTCTCTGTCTGATCCTTGGTTGATGGGCGCCTGGGCTGCCCGAGCTTTAGCTATGGCAGGCTGTGTGGCTGGGGACGCAGGTGTGTATGTGTCACCACCCTCATGGGTGCCCTTTGTCTTTGTCTCCTGATGCCCCCAGCCTGGCAGGGGGCGCCTGGCGAATGCTCTACCTGGATGGCAGCCCCCGTATGTGTGGGCTGTGTCTGTCTGGCCTGTGGAGGCCTCCCCTGCCCCAGCCGGCTCAGTCGTTTCGGGACCAGGAGCCTCGGGAAGCCCAAGAGGTGGATAATGTCAGCCAGTGCAGCCACGGTGTTCTCCCCCTGCCAGGCCAGGGGGCAGTGCCACTGCTGGACCCCTGGCTGCCCTGCTCATGTTTGTTGAGTGACTGATGGATGGCATCCATTCTGACATGTTGCTTCCTCTCTCACCATCCTCGTTATAGGGGAGCCTTTTCCGGGGGTCACAGCACACAAGCCTGGGTTTCCTCTTCTGACCTAGAACACTCAGTCTTTGTTTCTTTAGGACTTTTTTTTTCTGGGTTTTTTTTTTTTTTTTTTTTTTTGGTCTTTTTCATTTTTATCAGTACCAGGGATCGAACTCACGACTGCCTGCTTGCAAGGCAGGCGCTTATGCCGCTGAGCTAAATTCCCAGCCCCAGGACTTTTTTTTGGTACCAGGGTTTGAATTCATGCTTGCCAGGTAGGTGATTACACTGCTGAGCTAAATCCCTGGAACTTCTTTTGAATTTTTTAGTCAGGGTCTTGCTGTGGTTGATATTGAACTCGCTGTGTAGCTCATGCTGGCCAGGAACTCAGGGTGATCCTTCTGCCTCAGCCTCCTGAGTGTCGGGATCCCAGGTGTGTGCCCCCCACCCAGGAAAGCAGACCTGTCATTTATACCCTGAAATGCACAGGAGCCAGGGCCCCCCCAGGGCCACGGCTCAGCTCCAGGAGCCTGGCTGCATCCTCTGCAGCTGCGCTCTGGGTTCTGGTCTTGCCCGGCTCAGGTCCTGAATTAGGGACCCACCAAGCTGGGAGATCCCTCCTCTCACAGTGCGTGCACCTGTGCACTGTGCCCGCCTGGGCCTGCCTGCCACCCAAGGCTCATTCCTGACATTCTTAGAGAAGATAGGAAGCAGCAGCCGTGTGGCACAGATGCCAGAAGGGAGCCTTGCTGTCACCCCCAGACCCCTATGTGCAGGCTGTGGATCTGGATGTCCACGCCAGGAGAGATGGAACCCTCTGAACATTCCCTGAAGGGGCTGGGTGAGGACTCGGCCTCCTGTGATCCGTTTCCCCAGCCTGTCCCAAACCTAACTCCCACCCAGGTCCCCTCTATGTTCTTCTGGCCCCAGGGCCTTTGCACAGCTGTGCCTGGTGGGCTCAGCCCCTTGGAATCCCCACGGAGGCTAGGCCTGGACTCCTCAGAGGTCCAGTCACAGGGCATGGCATGGTGCTTACTCCCTGCAGAGGAGACCAGAAGGGCTGGACTCATGGAAAGCAGGCTTTCTGGAAAGAGGGTCTCCTCCCCACCAGGGAGGTTCTGACCTTGGGTGGGGTGACGGGCGGCCTCCCCATGTCTCCAAGCACTTGGGATTGATGGCTTGTTTTGCCCTCTATAGCCTGCACTGGAGATCCAACCCAGGAGGGCTCTACTGAGGGCCTGTCTAGCTGTTTGTCACAATTTCATTTTGTTTGTTTGTTTTGAGGCAGTATCTTGGGGTATGTCGCAAGCTGGCCTTGGACTCACCATAGAGCCCAGGCTGGCCTCAGCCTTGTGGCAACCGCCTGCCTCAGCTCCCCAGTGCTGGAATTCCAGGCATGTGCCTCCAAACGTGGCTGCTTGCTTGTTCGTAACATAGTTTATGTAGTTCAGCCTGGGTTTGAATACACTGCGGAGCCTGGCTGGCCTGGAGCCTGCAGGGATCCTCCTGTCTCAGCCTCCCGAGTGCTGGGATGATAGATGTGTGTCACTCTGTCTGGTTTAAACTTGCCTTTTCAGGAAGGTGACAGAGCGCCTATTATGTGCAGGGCTACAGCAGTGAGCTGAGCTGACACCGTAGGGACCAGGGACAGTATTAAAGTGGCAAACAAATGCCACGCTCGTGACAGGTGGAGGGAGGGGTCCAGCCTGGGGGAGTGAGTGTCTTGGGTCAGTGAGGGATTTTATTTTTCCCTTTTTTGACACAGGGTCTTTCTATGTAGCTAAAGCTGGTCTTGAACTCACTATAAGCTTGTGGGGGATCCTCTTGCCTCAGTCTCCCAAGTGCTGGGGTTACAGGTGTGTGGCAGCATCCCCAGCCTGTGAGGAACTTTCTAAGGAGGTCAGTGACACTGAGTGCGAATCTGAAGAGAGACTGCTGGATTAGGCAGGAGGAACAGCCTCTACAAAGGTCCTGTGGCAGGGATGAGCTTGACTAGAGGGGGGACAGGGAGGACACAGCCTAAGGGCAGGACCTGTCCTCAGTGGGCCAGAGTCCCCGGATGTAGACAACATCCCTATTCTTGATTCTGCCTATGCCATTTATTGCTTGTTGACCAATATCTTTCCAGTCCCCACCTCAACCTCCCTACCTGTAAAATGGGCTGGTTGGGAGTAGGTCCCTGGCAGAGGCTAATGGGGACAGATTTCCTGAAATTGCTCTCAGTGAGTATTTATTTATTGTCTTTTTGAGGCTCTCCGTATGTGGTTCAGGCTGGCCTTGAGCTCACTTTGTAGCCCAGGCTGGTCTTAAACCCACAATGATCCTCCTGCCTCAGCCTCCCAAGAGCTATGGGATGGCAGGCATGTGCCACCACCTGTGCCCAGCTTTTTCGGTGATTATTTATTACCGACAACTGCTGTCCCTGCTGAGGGTAGGGGCAGGACTCTCCTGGCAGTTGTTCAAAGCAGCTGGGTGAGAGTTGTCTAACAGGGCACGTGGCTGCAGATAGTGGCCTGGTGAGGGAGCTGCACGGCCAGCCACTGCCCGCTCCGAGTCGGGGTTGGGGGCGCCAGGGTCGGCTGCAAGGTGTGGGTTCTTACTCTCTCGTGCCTCAGTTTCTCCATCTGTAACCCAGGGGCAGTGTGCTCCCTGAGGCCGGTGAGGGATTAGGATCGGACAAGAAACAGAACCCAGCACAACCCCCAAAGCTGGGTCTCATTGAGATGCAAATCCAGGGGTGATCTCAGGTGACCCCAGGAGGCAGCTTTGGAAGGCCTCCACTTCCCATCCCAGACCCGGGGGAGGGGGCCAGGGGTCTCCCGCAGGCCTGGCCATGTCCCTGTGGTTTCCCATGCGGTCTGAGTGTGTGTGGGGGGGTGCAGGAGAGAGGGGCCGCTGACCTATGAGCCCTCTGGTTCCAAACTGCAACCTACCTCTCCTGCACTTCCCTTTCTCGAAGGGTCCCCAAATGCCCGCAACCCAAAGCCCGAGGGGTGCAGATGGGGCCCAGGCTGCAGGAGGCTCGGCACCGCTCCCAGGAGGGGGCGCACACGCCGGGGGGGGGGGGTGTCCCTGGAAGCCGCAGCCGCCTCTCGACTGCAGCCGCAGCCTCTCCCCTCTCTCCCTGGGGGTTCTCAGATGTTGCCAGATGGTAGAACCGAATCTGCTGAGACGTCACTCCAAGAAAGGAAAGTTGAACTGAAAAAAAAAATTCAAACTCCAACATCTTAGGGGAAAGAGGGGGGCACAATGCTGCAGGCTGGGGCTCCCCGGGCCTCTGCAGCCTGGATCGACCTCCTGGCCGGAGGGGGCAGACTTGGACTTGGGAGTGGGGTGGGGACACAGCTGTCCTGCTGAGCCCGCCTGCATGAAGGGTGCTTGGAGCGCTCGGGGGCGCCCCACGCAGGACCCTGCGTGTGTGTGCGACCACCACCTGCAGTATCGCCCGGTGCACGTGTCCTCGGTTGTCCCCGAGTGGGTGTTCCCTGAATGACACACTCCTGAGAACACTGTGACAGCCAGGGCAGTGCCCAAGGACAGACACCTGTTCCCCACTCCCCCGCCCCACGGGCACTTGTGTGGGCACGACCTGCACTCCCCCGGGCAGGGTCCCCGGTCGCCCATGATCTGTGTGCGTCCCGGGCGGGCTCCGTGGGTGGCCTCCTCGCGCCCCCGCCGGCCACTCCCGGGTTATAATTTAATCCTGAAAGGCGATTCCGGGGAAGCGTGGGGGAGGAGGGGGCCGCGTTCCTCTCCTTCCTCTGCTGGGAGCTGCGGAAAAGAAACTCGGCGTCGCGCCCGACTGCTCGTGCGCGCGTACGATCGCGTGCGCCGACGGGCGCGCGCGGGCCGGCAGAGGCGCGGGCCCTTTAAGGCGCGGGGCCCGGGGCGGCGCGGGGAGCGGAGTCACCGCCTCCCGGGCCCGCGCCCCGCCCCCGCCCCTCCCCCGCTGCTGCCGCTGCCGCCGGGACCCGAGCGGGCAGGGCGGGCCGGGCCCACGACCCGCGCCCACGCCCCGCGCCCGCGCCCCGCGCCCGCCCTGCGCGCCCCAGGGGCCCAGCACCCTAGCACGCGCGGTGAGGAGTCGCGGCCGCCCACGCGGGGCCTGCGCTCGCTCAGGCCTCGCCTCGAGGTGAGTGGGGGCGCCTCGGGCGCTTCCGGGGCGCGGGGGGCGCAGGGGGCGCCCCGATCCGGCGTCCGCGTGCTCGGGCGCGGGAACATGGGGAACTCCGGGCCGGCAGGGGGGGCGGGAGTGGGGCTCGGGGTCCCCCCCATGGTGCGCCCGGGGCCTGCGCGCGCGGCCGCCATACGTCCCCGCAGCCTGGACCCGGGGGCGACTCTGCGCCCGCTTTCGCAGCGAGCGGCCCGTGTTGGGGAGCCCTCGGGATGGCACCCCGATCCCTCGGCCCGGCTACGGTGGTGTTGCTCGGGATCCTGGCCGCCGTAGGTGGGGGGGCGTCCGATCGCGGCCCCCCAGGGCCGCCCTGGAGCGCGCGGGCACCCGCGGGAGCGCCCTCCCCTCCCCCGCCGGCTCCGGAGTCCGCGCCGCCCCCCGCGGCCGTGCTGCCTGGTTGCGCCGCCTCCGGGTCCCTCCCGGCCGGCGGATACTTGGGATGCCACTAGTTGGGGAAGTTGGAATTCCGAGCCGATCCGGGGCGGGCGGACTCGGAAGCCTTAGGCCCTGTGTCGGGGGCGCCGTCCCCGGGCGCTTGGGGCGCGGGGGCGCGCGCGGGGGGCGCCCTCCCCATCCGGCCCGGCGGGAAGCAGCGCGCGGGAGGGGGGCGCGCAGGGAGTCGGGGACTCGCTGTGCCCGCGAGCTCGGTCTCCCGGGTCCGGCGAGCGTGGGGCGCCCCGCGTGACTGTGCATTGTGGCGCGGGGCCGGGAAGCCAGTGTCCCCGCCGCCCGGCGCGCGCCCGGATCCCGGCGGGTCTGTCGCAGGCGGCGGAGGCGGATCCGTGCTGGCGGCTCAGCCTCCTCCCTTCCTCCCCGCCTCCTCCCCCCCTGTTGGTGAGAACTGGTCTTATTATGATTATTATTTTTTTCTCTTTGCAAATTTGGAGGAAGGATGTGAGCCGAGAGGGAGGGGCGAGGGCGGAGGGAGAGGATCCCGCGGGCGGGCGGGGGGACCCGGGCCCGCCGGGCTGTTATCGGTGGCCTTGACTTTGCCCTTTTTAAAGCAGCTCTGGGTCCCAGCGGCTGCTTTGATAGAGGGGCGCTCGGGGCCAGGCGCGCGGGGGGCGCGGCTGCGATCTTCGTGGGTGGCCCTGGCTTGTTTTGTTTTGGTGGGGCGGCGGGGGCGGAGGCAGGCGGCGCGGAGTTCGCGGCCGGCCCGCAGCGCTCGCTGCTGGGCTCCGCGCTGCTCGCCTTCGCTGCTGTGCTGACGGCGTGACTCTGGGCAGATTCTGGACCTCACTGTGCCGTGCCGCCGGGTTCTAGGCCGGCAGGGAGGACCTGGTGCGCGTCTGGGCCCGGTGTTGGGAGAGCTCGTTCTCACCCTTGACCTTTAATCTCAGGGCGCGGACGCCGCGTGGCAAGGGGCTGCCTCGCCGTCTGGGCCTTGGGGAGTGCATGGGGCGTGTGTGTGTGGAGCCTCGTCCCTTGCGACTGTCCCCCTGCTCCCCAGTTCCCCTGGATGCAAAAGGGCTCGACGCTCTGCCCATTGATCGCAGGCGAACCCTGAGTCCAGCTTGACCTCGAGCCCAAAGTCCGCAGGGAGCCTGGAGCGTTCGCCGCGCGCCCTGGGTGCTGTCTGGCTTCCCGCACCAGCTGCCGTGTCCCTGCTTGGAAATTTACTGCCACCGGGCGCCCTGGAGCCTGCAGTGCCTGGGCCCAGATGTGGGGGCGGGCGGGAGCCGGCGGGCAGCCCGGGCTTCTTCCCACCGAGCCCGGATCGATAGTATTGATAGATCCATGTAAATGGTAATGTGGCTGTCAGGCCCGCTGAGGGATGGAGACCTTCGGTGTGGGTTCGCCCTGGTGTGAAGGAGTGCGTGGGCATAATTCCTTTCTAGCCCCCCACTAATACTCTCAGCACCTCCTGAACAATTCCCAAGAGCTCTGCAAACACAGGCTGGGCTGCGGGCAACCCGCAGCTGGTGGGGGTGCGACTGTTCTGGGCCTGGCTGGCCACCACCCACCGCTGGTCCGCCCCGGAGTCCTGCCTGTGCGCTGGGGTCTGCGTGAGGCTTCCAATCTGCTGCCCTTCCAAGGCCGGTGGAGACCCAGGTGCTCTGCCACGATTCAGGAGGGCCCGAGTGTGTGTGTGTGTGCGCACCTAAAACCCCTCCAACTTGCGTGTGTCATGGGTGTGAGCTGTTGTTAGTGTGCCAGTTTCTCCTTGTTTCCTCTTGCTGTTTCCCGTCACCTCCCCGGGTGACACCTTAGAGGCCCAGGCGACTCCCTGCTGCTGCCAGGGGACCCGCTTGCAGCTTGCTGCTGCTGGGCCCGGGGAGGAGGGCCCATGTCCCCCAGGGACGCTGGGTTTGGGAAAGGCCATCTCGTGGTGGCCCACACTCTGCATCTCAAGCTGGAGATTCTCGGGGTTATCATGGGCAAAGTGCTCACTGTGCCAGCGCTATGTCCATGCCAGGCTACTGCTCAGTCTTAGTGCTGCCCGAGTTGCTGATGGGAACCTTGAGGTCCGGATCTTACCCAAGGCCAAGTAGCTGGGAAGGAGATTAGGCGTCACTCCTTCTCCGTATCTGGGTACAGACTGATGTGTGGCAGCCTTGCTGGCCAGGCCGGCGGTGGTGGCGAGGGTCAGACACAGGGTTCCCCGGCGGGCCTGGTACTGCTGGGAGGCCCCTTTTAACTGTTCTTGCAGATGTGACGTTTGCCTGGGCGACAGGGCTGTATGTTCTGAAATGAAAACACGGTGTTGAATTATTTAGCACAGTGGATCACGGGGAGCTGTTGGTGATCGGGCTGGTACTCCAGGCCTTGGAGCCCGAGTGTGGGGTGCATCCCTGGGGACAGACCTTGGGAAGGTGGCGGCTCCCTGGCAGAGGATGGCACCTGTCGGGAGCAAGACTGCTGTGGTCATGCCTTGGCACTGCCATCCATGTGACCTTCCTGGCTTTGACCTTCTCAGTGTCCACCCTGAAGAATCATCCTAAACACATAGCAGGGGACAGTCTGGAAGAGTCACCTGCAGTCCCCGGGAAGGAAGCCAGTGAGTGTCCTGGCCCCCATATTTGAATCATTGAGCCCCCTGGGCTGGGAGCTTAACTCTGAGCCTCCGTGTTCCCATCTCTGTGAGGGGGCTGCTGCCACCGCCGTGCCTGGCACTTTAGTCTCAATTGCCGTGAGGACCGAGCAGCCCAGGGGCACCCTGGGCGCAGCTGTCCTCATCCGGGCACCTGCTGGGCAGTGCTGGCCTCGCTTCCACCGGTGGCTGCAGGGCTCTGGTGATTCTAGAAAGAAAAGGACCTTGAAAGTCAGGGTCGTGGGTGCAGATCAAACTTCTGTCAGTTGATAGCGCGACAAAGTGTTTGACCTGCTGGCCTGTTTCTTTCTCCCTTTTTTAATGGTATGAGGATGGACCCATGGAATCCAGCGCCTGGCCCATGCTAGGCAAGGGCTCCGCCACTTAGCTGCACTCCTAGCCAGGCTTTTTATTTTGAGACAGGTTCTTATTAAATGGCGCAGGCTGACCTTGACCTGCGACCCTTCTGCCTCAGCTTCCTAGAATAGGAATTGCAGGCATCTGCCACCATGTCTGATGTTATCCATGCCTGACGTTATCCGTGCCTGACATTATCCTTAGCGTCTTTATACTGGAACAAGTGTGTAGGGGAGAAGGCTGTATCCCTGTGCTGTCTAGCTGTCTGTGGGGTCTGTGGCCTGTGCAGTGTGACTCGGAGCTGTGGGATGGGTCTTTATTAATTTCCGTCAGTGTAAACGTAAGCAGCCACCTGTGGCCATGCCGATGGCCACTCAGTGAGATGGCCCTGCCGGCAGAAAAGTCCGTGCAGAAAAGAAAAATTCATGCAGTACAATCAGGTAGCCCTCGAGGCAAAGCTCAGGGTCTCTAGTGAGCCTGGCTGCAGGACTCCGCCTCCCCGCTGGCCAGGTCCCAGGGCCACAACAGATGTCACAAATGTTGGCTGAGCTGCTCGGCCCTGCCTGGGCCCTGTCTGTGCAGCAGGGTCACTTCCCTGTCTCTTTTTCTTGACTGTCACTTCTCTAGCTGGAAGGTGGTCCTGGGCCGCACCATTCATGGCCACGAAGGGGCGTGGGTGTTACTGTGGTGCTGTGGTCACTGTCCCTCTCAGGCTGGGGACCCTGGGCATGTCACCAGGCTACCCCATCCTCCCGGCTTCCGGGGACGCAGCTGGCCCTGTGAGAAGAGCCTTTCTCCTTAGGGACAGTATGGGCTGGCCAATGGAGCGCAGTCACCTTAGGGCTTCTTTCTTTTTCTTTCTTTCTTTCTTTTTTTTTGGTCTCTGAGACAAGGTCTCCCTGCGCAGCTCTGGCTGGCCTTGAGCTCACTTTGTAGCCCAGGCTAGTCTCGAATTTGCCGAAGTCTTCCTGCCTCAGCCTCCTACAGTGCTGGGATTACAGGTCTGTGCCACCACTCCTGGTTAAAAGTACTGAGCTTAAATGGCACAGACAGTGTGGAGAGTTCCTGTGGTCTCCTGCCAGCCTGGTGTCTGTCCCCTGAGGCAGTCACGGTTGGCAGCATCTGAAGCTGCTTTGGGTGTGTGTGCATGTGCGTGCCTGTGTATGTGTAGAATAGAACCCGGCCCCGTAGTGCCTGCTCAGAACCCTGGCACTTGGGAGGCTGAGGCAGAGGATTGCTGGGGGTTCAAGGCCAGCTTGGGCTACATATCAAGGCCCAGTCTCAAACCAAACTAAAAATAAACACAGTGGCAGTAGCCACACCTCTGTGTCCTGGTCCTCCAGCAGGAACGTGTGGGCGTGGGGGTCAGAAGGCTGCTTTCCTGCAGGAGGTGAGACTGGCTTTAGTTGAAAGAAAAAAAAAAGTGCGTGGTTGTGAGTTCGATCCCGGTACCAATTAAAAAAAAAAAAAAGTCTGAAGAATAAAGTTTGATGCCCTGAAAGTCTTGGAAATGTGACGGACTTGGGGCACCTGCGCAGAGCACAGAGGCCCCTAGATGCCCTCCCTGCTC